ACAGTACGTGACATCACAGGAAAGTATCAAAAGCTGTCCATGTAACCCAGAAAACAGTACGTGACATCACAGGAAAGTATCAAAAGCTGTCCATGTAACCCACAAAACAGTACTTGACATCATAGGAAAGTATCAAAAGCTGTCAACCTAACCCAGAATACAATACGTGACATCACGGGAAAGTATGAAAAGCTGTTCATGTAACCCAGAAAGCAGTACATTACATCACAGGAAAGTATCAAAAGCTGTCCATTTAACCCAGTAAACAGTACGTGACATCACAGGAAAGTATCAAAAGTTGTCTATGTAACCCAGAAAACACTACGTGACATCATAGGAGAGTATCAAAAGCTGTCTATGTAACCCAGAAAACAGTACGTGACATCATAGGAAAGTATCAAAAACTGTCCATGTAACCAAGAAAACAGTACGTGACATCATAGGAGAGTATCAAAAGCTGTCTATGTAACCCAGAAAACAGTACGTGACATCATAGGAAAGTATCAAAAACTGTCCATGTAACCCAGAAAACAGTACGTGACATCATAGGAGAGTATCAAAAGCTGTCTATGTAACCCAGAAAACAGTACGTGACATCATAGGAAAGTATCAAAAACTGTCCATGTAACCCAGAAAACAGTACGTGACATCACAGGAAAGTATCAAATGCTGTCCATGTAACCCAGGAAACAATAAGTGATATAATTGAGAAGGATATTTAGCAGGAAAAGCAACACAAATTAGGGGTGCACAAGCTTCTTCCACAAAATATTCGTTCAACCATCACTTACCTCAAATAGTTGGAGAACAAAATGGGTATTCATACTATTCTATACAAAGACATGGTTGCTGAACACAGTATCTATGAATTTCTGTGTGATCACATTGTTGGAACAGACAGTGGAAACCCGTTGTCGTTGTACACTAGATGGAATGTAGAAAGTTTCCAGCGAGGAGCGGCGTGCTTTGGACATGACAGTGCAGCCTTTTGTAATAAAAACTATGTTGCAGAGATATAATTACCAGATAGAGCCTGACCAGTTTTAGCGACATAGGTTGTAATGGTCTGGAAAGGCTCCAAAGTTGTTTTAATATAATATAATCAATCTTAGTAATTATACTTTATTTGCTAAAGTTACTTATTAACAGATATATTGCCTTTACCTTGTTTCATCAAATTGAATTTGTGTCTGTTTCTGCCTTTGGAATGGGGTAATTATTTCAGGTGCAAGTAAATATGAGTTGGGAGATGAATATACTTATTTGGAATCAATCAGGTAGTCTAAGAATTGTAAGAATATTACATTAGAAGCTGATCTGGCTTAAAAGTGTGGTGTTTCATTATTCTTGCTTTCTCCTGTGCAGATGTTTATGGAATTATTTTCTTTGCCCCAGTATCCAGATTGAGTTCTAATAAAGTGTAGTACAGGATAGTGTCGTGCATTTTCTACTCTCTTAGTTAATATGTAAATATTTTCGAAATTTCTGCATTTTCTTCGGATGTTGAAAGTTTTTCAAGTAAATACATTTTTGCTTTCTGTCTGCATTTGTTCTTTAGAATTGTCTTTGGTGTGAGAAGCTGTGGTTTCTTTAGTTTTCTAAGACAACGTAGCAAGAAGTTGTAACACTGATCTTTTCACAAATTTTAGGAACTGTAGTTTTTTACTTATTCTAATGGTGATCTATTTATTTTCTTCTAATGTGCGATTTCGAAAAAAAAAAAACTTGTTGGTCCTGTTTTTCTTAATCTGCCTCACTTCCCGTTCTTCCTTATCTATTTTGAGCACTAGAAAGACGGAGCTTTCCATAACCCATGTTTTTCTTAAGAGGGTACATAATATAATAAAATATGAAAGAGCGCTGTGGCACCAAATGCCATAGAATAAAATATATATAGTGTAATATTAATACCACTGTAATTTTATTTACTAGCACGTCTTGTGGCAGAACATTCTTCGTTAGCTACATAAGTTTCCAAATGTTATTATATATTACTCAGGATCATTCAGAGAGAGACATTGGCAAACAAACTCGTCAGTAACGTTGTTTTTAACCTACAGCCCTTTTGTGTTTGCTGCTACAGACAGTTATCTACCTTGCTTATCCGATAACTCTGAACTGTAACAGTGACAAATAATGTAGTGCTGTGTTTATCATCCTTCACATTTGACGTCATTCTTCAAAAGTTCGATATTTCCTCGATATTTAGGCCAATGAGATAACATCTGAATTTTATTCCGGTTGTTTTCGTTAATTAAACCAAACTAAAGGCTGTTGAACTTAATCAAGGCTATTTTTATTATTGTGCGTAACTACATCAATCTTGATTCTATTGATTTCTTATGCCACTTTAGTAAAGAATGCAGTTATTAGTTTGACTCAGATTAGTTTAAGAGTGTATTTTTGTGAGCTCAGTGTTAAAACCTGTTGAAATATCAAGACAACACACAAAGTATTCTTTTCATTACTAGTGATTTACCCACTTTAATACGCATGCGAACATTTTCCTTTCTTGGCTACCAAAATGCATTTAACGTTCATGTTTCCCTTTAATGTGTACAAGTAAAAAATTGTATCTTTTTGCTAACAATGGTTTGAAATATTTATAAGTTCGAATAACTGGCCAGTTTTATGTATTGTTGATTGCTATCATACTTGGTTTTCGTTTAAGAATGTGTATGTTTCGAATAATCAGACAGCAACACAGTAAGGATAATTTATAGGTGTATATCTTGACATAATCTATTTGTTCAATATGGATACCATTGAATAATAAATGCAAAAAAAGTTGAAAAACAGTTTAGAATTCAAATTGGGAAACTAATAACACGGTTCATACTTTTGAACTGATATATTTCAAGGATGGCAGCCAACAGAGCCCACCGCCGTGTTTATTTTTTGTTTTGTTTTTATCTCTTCCAAATTACCCCCAGGGTGTCAGTCTTAAGACCGATCCAGTTAACTTAGTTTGTATGTGCAGTTATTTTTAGGGCCAAACATGACTGGACTGTGGATCTAAAGGTTTACGGTTGGCGTCCCCTTGCCGCAAAAATGCCCTATGAAATTTGAGGCTGTGGAATGCACTGTAAGGGTGACAGTCAATCCTACTATTCGTCCAGAATAGTTAAGTGTGAGAGTTAAATTGTTTTCATCAGAACATAATATGTCAGAGCACTTGATGGCACTCAATTTTTTTAATAATTACATTGTTTTTCCAGTGAAAGTATATATCTACTTTACCATTAACGTGTGAGGTTTTATGTACGCGCCGGATTCTTTACAGTAGGTGTCTGTGACTTGTTGGCGATAAATTTCAACGATAAATAAATAGCACACAGTCCACTTATTTCAAGATAATATATTAAAACAACTCAACTTCGTTACCCTGTTGGTTATCGCATTTATATTTAGTTGTGTGAAGATCTATCTATCTTTCGAACTGCATTTTGGACGCGCATTTAAAGCCCGACAGAGGCCTAGAACGTTCGATACCCTACGAGATATTATGATGCAATAATACTCAAATAACACAACGAGAAAAACTTAGAAGGTTCTAGTGACATGATGAAATAATATAACAATCACCAATTCATAACAACTGAACTACACAACTTATGATTCGTAAACAGTTACGTAAACAAGCTTGTGATAAACTATCGCTTCTAAAAATATGTAAGTTTAACACTCACGCTATATAACTATCTAAATTATAACTTTTGCATTAAACTTAAATGGCAAGAGTTGTGTGTATCAAAAAATTGGAATAATGAGCTATAATTCAAGTAATGAGGCCTGAAGAGAAAATTGTGTAAAAATGTATCACAAAACGAACCTAAGGAATACCAGCTTTCACAATGCTCGAATTAGCCAACAATAGAAACATATTTTTTCAATGGGTAAATAATTTTGCGCAACTTATTTTCAAAACATATGTGGGATATATTTATGTTTTTATTTTTGGACAGATGACAGCTGTTTTGACTCCTGACAGAGCACATATATATATTAGCTTTAATATAGGACGTGGGACAAAACAGATGCAGCTCTCTTACTTAATTAAATTACAGCATTTATAGGCTGTAAAACCACGTTCTTCGTACTGAATACGATAATCCCAACTGATAAGTAGATAAGCAGCATACCATATAAATGCTAATGGAAAGGCTATAAAATCCTTGGTTAAAGAACTCATGAAATATAACAAACTTAGACGAATAAAGGTATGCTTTCATTCACAGCTTTTAGTATATTTATGCTTGATCTACTGCATTTTGTATTTATGTTATTTTGGAAATTATTATTGTTTCATTCTTAATATACCTTGTTGGTTATTATGTTCAAGTATTATATATTTTCTTGTACTTAAGTTCAATGTGTGTGTCTGTGTACGCGCTCGTACGTTATTAGCCTTATTTTTATTATTTTGCAATGGCCACACGGTAAAATAATTCAGTAATGTTTCGATTTTATGAATGAAAGTTTCAATAAGCCGCAGAGCTAAATATTCCTTTTTGTTCTTACTTGACGAAGTCTTTCTTTTTAAATCCCAGACATCATATAACTTGAGACTGGCAGAAATATAACCATATAATACCAAATCTAAGATAACGATTATAATAAGATAATTAGTTTATTATATCGCTATTTCAGAAGCAGTCCACAATGTCGACCGACGTAGTTTTGTGCATCTTCCTTTTAATTGGCTACATATATCAAGTAAATGGGAGGCCAAAAGGTTGGTTCAAAATTATTTCTATTACTTGTATTTTGGTAGCTTAGGTTATTGTTGGTAATTAAATTGCTGTCAATGCAATGCCATGAAACAGAATAGATTCAAAATAGATTTCCACATCCAATAGGTATATGAAAAATACAAAATATCATAATTTTAACAACTTGCAGTGATGTTAATTCAATGTCCTAATAGTATTATGTAAAAAACAACAACATAGCTAATCATTTATCTTAGCTAATGAATGTTTTTGACGAATGACTGAAAGATAAAAATATTCTCTGTTTTTGAAGATACTGCTCTTATCTATTTTGTTTTTTCTAGATTTACATAAAGTGAAGGACATTGGTTATCTACAGTACTCGGATCCTGATGTAGAAGAAGATATATTTGCTTCCGTTCCTGAATTTGTTTCAGATTATTATAAATCAGAAGTTTTATTAAATGATGATGCTTTTAATAGAATTTCATTAAATGATGAAATCATGAAAGAACTTTCATTGGACGACCAGGTTTTAAATGCAATGCCTCTGCCTAGTAAAGTATTAGATAATAACGCAAAGGTTGATAGTACAACGAGCTCCTTTAGAAATTTTATTTTAGGGTTTATGGAAGAATTTCGCCAAGTGCTTTTGACAGGACTTTCTGGACTCAAAATTCCTGTTTTAGATCCAATGGTAATTCCAAACCAGCTGTATAACTACAATGGTGAAACTGTTCAGTTACAACTTCAGTTTGAAAACATCAATATCATTGGAATATCTAAATTTCGGTTGGAAAAGTTGAATACGAATGTTGAAAAACTACCTTTAAAGATTAATTTCACATTGAACATACACTCACTTATAGTGAAGACCAAGTGTTCTGGAAAGGGAACTTTTGCTAGCTTTATTCCTGTGTCATTTGAAAACATAAACGTCAATATAAAAGTTGAAAAGGTCGAAGTTATAGGGTCAGTAGAACTAATGATGTTGAATAAAAAACTGAAGGCCACAGGAGTGGATCTAGATGTTCAGTTTGGTATGCTGCAGATGGATTTCGAAGGGTTAGATACTGCAGAAATTTACTCTGATATTATAGAAACTCTTCAACAGCCAGTTATTGAAGAATTTAAGCCTAGCGTTTTGGGGATTCTTAAAGAGAACTTCTTTAAACTCCTAAATGTCAGGATGACAGAATTTGAGCCTTCAAGGTATGAAAGCGTACCAAGTGTGATGAACTAATTATGCACGCTTTTTAAAAAAGATAGTGTTCACTTTTGCGACCTGAGTCATAATGTTACTTGTTACACCGAAATCTTTTGAAGTACAAAGTTATGGTTATTAGATATTATTACAAAACTAACGATTTTTGCATTTTTCTCAAATTATACGATAAACTGAATATATTATTTTTGTATATAATGAAATAACAATTTAAAATATTCTTCTACCTATGAAACTCCACTATTATTTTTTGTCCTATAAATATTAATTTGTGTACAATTAATTTTAGAATTGCTCAAATAATAAAATAACATTTGGAGTTCAACGTTGAACTATAAGTTCAATATCATAATTTTAGATTTATCAATAAAAATGTACGACCTTTCTTCAATAAAACATTGATATTTTAAATGTTCTGCCTCCAAATAATAATACAAAGTAAGTATGTTAAAAAATACATGTTTAATGCAATGATGTATTACTAAAAATATAGGAACTGTACACCTAGGGTATAAAGGTGTGGTGGTGTGCTTCTAGAGTCTCGTTTTATTAGAAAAGGGGTCAGCTTTTAGGATTTATTATAGCTTATACACTGTTATAAATATTTGACCTCAACCACTGGTCCACATCTGGTGAAACAGACCCTCACTTTTTACAAAACATCTAAAGTTGGGTCTTCTCACTATCCTGGAATGGTTTTGTAGATTTAAGTCAGGGGTCGGTAATGGCTATAGCAGATTCGACATTATTTCCCTAGTGCTAGACACGACGTATGATGTAACATCGAAGATACAATAATATCAAACATAGAGCAAATTTGGTGAAACGATATCTTGTTCCTAAAGAGGCCAATGGAACATTCACAATCATGATTTGGCCTTTACTAATTCTTGGTATGAGCTTGCTTCATCCTGTATGGGCTTATATAAAAACTGAGAAGAGTAAAAGACAATCAAACAACTTGGTTGAATTGTAGGGAAGAATAGTTGAAAATGAAGCGTGGATTGCCTTTAAAGATGTTATTGACAATTTTTTAGGAAACAACAAGGACCCAACTTACGAAAATATTGTGAATAACACACTCGATAAATTCAAAGAGTTCGGTTGTAATATGAGCTTAAAAGTCCATTTCTTACACTCACATATTGACCATTTCCCTGAAAATCTCAGTGGTGTCAGCGAAGAACAAGGAGAAAAGTTTCACTAAGTCATCAGGCAAATGGAGAGGAGGTATAAGCGATGGTGTAGCAAGGGTTCTCATCACCCGGGGCAAAGACACTTTTGGCGCCCCCACCTCTGAAATGTTTTAATTATTTGTTTTGTGACTCATTACCCACTTAATGACAATAACATAAAGAATTAATTACTGCCTTACACAGGCCTAAAATAAAGTCACAATACAACATTTCACGATATCACAACTGTAAACCTGGAA